ATTCCAACAACTAAGAAATAGTGAGAAGAGTTGGGACCTCAGAAAGCTTTTAGGACCAATTAGTAGGCTCTTGTGTGTAGAAGAAAACAAATATACTTATCAGTAATGTTAATGCTCACCCACAGCTCTTGTGGGAGGATCTACATCGTTGAAGCATCCTCCTTTGTTTCCAGCTGGGAGCTGGGGCCTGTCAGTCCTATCTGCCATGAGGACCTGGTGTGAGCCACCTTGGTCAAGTGTCCTGCAGAGCCACACTTAAAGCAAGTGAGTGGGAGCTTCCTCTCTACTCCCTTGCCTATCTGTGGCTCTCATCTGTGACACTGTCTACTGAAGTGACCCAGCTTTCCACAGTGGAAACAATTAAGACCTCCTTTATTACCTTTGGGTGGCACTGTATATGAGTAAGACTTCCTTTTCCTGACATAGGCCCTAAACTGGCAGCAATAGCTGCCTCAATAATTTTGGTCATTCTCTGGTCTTTTCTCTTCCCTCTAGACCCCAGTTGTTAAAAGAGGGAAAATATTTGTAATTTCTTTAATTCTATTTTTTTTTCAGCAAGCAATATTATCCTATCTAATTTTGGGTATTGTAATTAATGTTATAAAGCAAAATGTATATGAGAAAATGAATGAAAAACAAAAACAAATTTGTTTCTTCTGCACATAGCAGTTTGTTAATAATACTTCCTTAAATCCTGCATTCTTATATTTAGGACAATTTCTTAGAGTACTTTCTGAGCATACAGAATAAACGAGTATGGTATAAGAACACAACAATGCTGCACACTTTTGCTTATTTGAAACAGTTACCTTTTGATTTATGTAAAGCTTCCATATAAGAACAATTATCTACATTTTAATGATCATTCTTTGCAACAGTTTCCATATTTTTTTGTTAAATACAAAGTTGAGTGACATTTCATGCTTGATAAACCACCCCAACTTAATGGTATACAACAACAACAAATTTATTATCACTTTTTATATTCTAATATCATCATGTTTAGAAAAGTGGAGACGAAGATCCTTAACTAGATGGTTGCACTGACCACAGCAATGGGCTCAAGTATGGCAGAGATGATGAGGATGGCACAGGATAGGACAAGGTT